ACCAATTTGACGAATCCCCAGTATGGAATTCGTCAATAAACTTTTGTTTCGTCATAGTGTATTCGACAATTCGCGAGTCGCTAGTGTGAAATTCACCAATTTTAATCCGTAGAATTATGACTCAACTAAATTGATGATAGAATATTTAAGTATTACAGGACGTGGGTGTGCGTGTGGGCGTGAGTATGAGTATCGATCAAGCGCATATACAACACTCAGACCCACACCCACATTCATATCCACACAGAATCACCTACGACCAGACCATTTTTCGTTAGTATATTCGCCAATTGACGAATCTCTATCATGAAAATCGCCAATAAAATTTTTGTTTCGCCATAGTGTATTCACCAATTGTCGAAAAGCTAGTTGATATTCCCCAGTTGGTGAAAAAGAAGATTGGCAATAGTATAATACCCCCAATCGGCTATACAGTTTTGACCGTCAACTCGAAAGCTAACAATGGAAGTTAGAGAGCGGGAACCTATCGTTATGACCGATTCATAGAATTTTATGGGCTAGTTGAGGCTCAAAATAACAGATAATATCTGTCTAGCAGCCACCTCCGTACGTTTTCATTTTTATACCAACCATCTTGTTAGCCTGATGATTATATTCGTGCGTAAAAGTGTCTTGTATACGACAAACTCTCAAATTAAGAAGACGGTTTCAATCCTAGAGTTTAAGGCGAGCATGGCAGGTCAGAATATTAGGAGCCCACTGATATGGTCGATTTTGACCATTTTTCAGACACCTGCATGCTTGCATCAATCACTGATGCTGTTGTATCGAAGATTGACATCATTTTTCATGGTTCCGTTGACCCTTTTCTTAGTCGAATCATGGTAATCAAGTATGAAAGAAACGCTTTGTGTTATAGTGCCATCTAGTAAGGAGTATAGCTTCGACTATCGTTATTAATGTTAGTGATGCAACGATGGCGATAACAGTAGGTATGGTTACGGGTTCACTACGTGGACCATTGGTACGGTTATTACTACGACTAAGAAAACCGTACCCACGATTGCAGGACCAATTATGATAACCATAGGTACAGTTATCAGTCCTAGAAGGCTTTCGTGAAACACGGTATTTTCTAAGACAGTAACAAATCCCTATGAAAGGTGAAGAAAGATGATCATGATCAGAAAATCTGAATCTGAGGTCAAATTTTAGAAATGTTTAATTTGACCTTGTACGCTAAGGAAAGGTTTTCTGAGAAGATCCTGACATTTAATAAAGAGTGAAGAAAGTAAATCAGTTTCCAGGGACTCGAATCTGGAATCGATTTACCAGGGTTCTGCATTCCAATTATCAATAAAATGATTTCTCGATGAATGCTATGGTTTTCTTAAGTATTAGAGTCAAAGGCGTCAAGTTGCATTTCTCTTCATCAACCTATCAAGGAAATAGTTACTTTCATAATAAACAATCACTTAATCTAAAAACTTCAGTTCAAAATTTTCAAAGACTGACTTTGAATTCTGACTCTCCGGCCCCAGTTTACTTCGTCAACCTTTATAAAAACCTTACTTTCTTAAAAATGCTGTTTTTCACGACATCCGTTTTGACCTAATAACTGTACCTAGGAGGATCGTAATTGGACCGATAACTGTAAGTGCGGTTATCACAATTGGACTATCAGCCGTACCTATGGTACTCGTAGTTTGGCTACTAACGATAGAAACAGTTATCGTACTTAGATCGGTATCCGTGGGTATGCTTGTTGTAGTTAGACCGATGACCATAGGTATGGCTATATAATGTCACTGATGACTGTCAATGCGGTAATCATAGTTGGACTGGTAACCGTAAGTACGTTTATCGCAGTTGCACCAATAGGTTTACTTACAGTAATCGTAGCTAGGCGAATGACCGTAACTTAGATGATAGTAATTAGACTGATAAGCGTAGCTGTGGCTGTTGTAGTTAGATTGATAACCGTAGTCTCGATGATGATAGTTAGATCCGTAACCGTAGGTACACTGATCTTAGATGGACCAGTAACCATTGGTACGGTTATCGTGATTGGATCGAAAAACCTAGGCACATTTATCGCAGCTGCACCAGTAACTGTAGGTATAGCTATCGGTTTCGACCGGTGAAATGACTTTCACCGTAGTATTTCTAGTTAATATCAATACTGTCTATATAGAACTACGAAAATTTGCGGTGATAACCGGTTTTCGCTATCACTCAAACAACATAAGACTCAATACATCCAGCAGTACTAATACGCTGGTATCCATTATGGCTTTTTATAACCTTATCGGCTTGATTCTCTGCTTTACTCCAGAGTTATGATCAGTACTTCCCGAAACTAATTAGGACGACGAACTACTTCTTATCAGAAAATTAAGTGCTTGAGTTCCTAAGATGTATCGTGTAGGAGAGACACCGAAATACAAAAAAGTGACCGGTGCACCGGTCCCACCGCCTCACCGTACCACCGGTGCATCCCTAAAAGGTGGAGCGTCGGTGAGTGTTAAAATATTTTTTTATGATTCTCCATGTCCAATACCTTGAGCAAGAGGTCCTCAATATGAAAGCAGTTTAGTAAGGATTTAATTAAAAACGAAAATTATTTAGAAATAAATCAATCGGTACATTTTTCTTAAGAAAGCTCGTTAGATTAGATTAATATCTTTTCTCTTTTGTTACTGATTTATGTGCTCTCATTGTACAGTCACAAATAGCCAGCTATTATATGATAGCACATAGCTTTCTTTTTTAGCTTGTTTTCATAGTAATCTATTTGTTTCGTTCTTTTCTTCCATACTGTGTTCGATAATTGACCTTTTTGTACATATCTCACTCATAGAACACAAAGAAAACAGAAAAAAAAGCTCCTTATTGGTAGCTACGTTTTTTTTTCTCTTCCTTTCATTTTCATTGTTCTTTAGGTATAAACATTCTTCTCTCATTCGTGGTCATATCACTTTCAAATCGTGCATCATTGACGAAACAAAAGCAATGTGTAAACTGAATGATATGAACACAAACACGGTATGAATACTCTGAGAGTAATTAGAAAAAATAACGTATGATGCAAAAGTAATGAGACAAATGTCAAACCCTATTCCTCTTCGTCTATGAACGTGTTATAAAAAATAAGCTATATACGATTCGAAAGAGGAGAAAAAGCCCTATCTTTTGGTAAAAAAAACTTTTCGTTCAGTACTTTTTCAATGAAGACAAATAGGATTCGACATTTGTCTCATTACTTTTGCATCGTACACTATTACAGGAGATCATACTTGGTTGATGTTTATGTTCTCACTTTGTGATTTCTATCCTCACAATATTATTATAGTGACCGTTTTTTCGAACCTTGTTTATGTCCAATGATTTCTTTTATTTTTATTCTTTTTTTTTTTAATATTAATGATTTTACTGTTGCGTATTTTAGGTATCTTCACCACCAACAGCCACCACTGAAGAACTACAGCAGTGGAAGAACCGGGCCCAGGAGTGGCAGGCTCGGGGGAAAACAGCCGAAGATCTGGCTGCTAGGTGGGCAGTGGATAGGGCGGCATCTGAACGAAGGGTGGCGCAGTTGGCGGGGGAGAAGAGGGCAGCTGAACGAAGGATAGAGCGGTTAGAGAGGCAAGTTACGGCGTTGGCGGAGCAGGTGCAGCAGCTGCTGGCGGAGCGGCAGGAGTGGGAAGTACGTGGCAGAAGATCGGAGGGAAGGGGGCAGCGATGGTTGAGGGACGGTGGTGGTTGGGTGGATAATGGTGTTAGGGGATGGGATCGGCGTGGTCATCGGGCAGTAGGTCGTGGTGGAGGTGGTCACGGTGGTGGTTTTCGTCGAGGTGGAGGGTTGTTGTGAACAAACATTCAGAGGGGGATGGTGGGAGCTTTTTGTTTAGCTTCCTTTTTTCTGTTTTTTTGTTGTTTTTTTTTCTGTTTTTTTTTGTTATTCTTTCAATAAATGTTAAACAAACATGAATTTTTGATTGTTTGCATGATAGAAAGATTATGTATCAGATTTAATAGTATACAATTAATCACATCGACGTTATTTTGAAACATTTAAAAATCAGATAAGTTATTGAAAAAATAGGAATGACAAGAATCTTTACTTCCAATTTTCCCTATATTTTACTTTAGTTAAGTCTTGTTTCATCATTTATTTATGATTAATTAAGGAAATATTCTGTTTTGTCAACAAATTTTTTTGCTAATATCTTCGACATGTTGTATTTATGTTTTATTAATCATGTCTACTCTATTTCTTCTCTAATACTTTTGATTTTTGGTTATTGTCTCAATAATTGAGTGAATAGGAAATCTTCATATGAATATGATTTATTAATATATAAAAAGATCCATTATAGAATATATTGTTCGAAGTATACAGTCGAGGATCAAGCGAGTCACAGGGATGAGCATTACTTGTTTTTTATCTATTTCAAAATACATACGAAATAAGTGGTAGTAGATATAAATCAAGTTTACGTATCAATGTACAATTTTGTTGGCTATTATGATCGTCAGTAACATCGCTTATCATGGGAGACAACGTTTCCATATTACACTGTTTTTTTTATAAACTTATCAATAAAAGAAAAGCAAAAAGAAAATCAAATGTATCTACATATATATGCGGTATGGCGCACATCATGATTAATACTCGAGCTGTGCATCCTATTTGTACTTGATAACAGCTATTAAAACAGGTTTTGATAGACATTATATTTTAATCGTTTATCAAAAAAGTGAAAGAAAAGAAGCATATGAAAATAATTCGCAGATTTTCTTCGATATGTTTGTAAAAGTTACACTTCAAACGAGTAGCTTATCATAGTAATGATGTCACCTGGTCAATATTTCTCTTTGGCTTCATCTAGTTATCAGTTTAATAGTAATCAAAAAAATTAAAAACATATGGCAAACTTTTGAAAACAAGTTGTTTGTTTCTATTTAGTAAATATTTAAGACAAAAACAAAAAGAAAATTAGAATACAATTTTAAGCATGAATAAAAATTTTCTTGAATTATAACGTATATCGATATTCAGGATGATGATCACCAGCTAATTTATCTCCTCCATATTTTTCAATTTGTTTCTTAATTTCTTCATCATTCATTTTTGAACGTTGATGATTAATATACATAAATATTAGACGAAGACTAATCACTAATGTTGTTTGTATAACACAACAAATTAATGTAATTGTATTACCAATTAAATATCGCGGTTTCTGTTCGGCTTGATATATCTGTCCTGATATGATTCCACCAATAGCAGCTATTGAAATAATGAATGCTGTTGCAACTGCACGTCGAGTTAATGAAGCACTAAACATATACGTAGATCATAGAAATTTAGTGAAAATAAATAAAATATCACTCACAAATTATTATTAATCCAAGTTACTCTTATACTAACATTTGAATATAAACCTGATATAACAAGAACAACACCGATATAAAGAATACAAACATATTGTTGATCGATGAATATTAATATTAAGAGACCACAGATTGTCAGTAAATTTGTAAAAACAAGGTGAAAAGATCGTTCAACAAAACTATAGAAATTTTATTTCTTAGACAAGATATATAAAACATCAACATAAAATACTTACTAATCTGAACTACGTGAAACAATTAAAATAGTAATGAATGCTACAAGATAAGGTGGAACAGTCATTAATTGTGTTTGAATTGGTGTCCATTGATCCATGTCAGATATTAGTGTAGGTAAAACAAGAGTTATACCTTGCAAAGAAGTAGTACCACATATATATGTTAAAGCATAAATATATGTTTTCCAATCAGTAAAAACAGATAGAACTTGTGACCAAGAAAATGAACTATGATGAGATGCACCAGCATCTTGTCGAAGACGATCAGTTTCTAATTGACGTTGTTTATCATTCAAAAATCGTGCTTGTTCAGGTGTATCTGGTATATAAAACCAACAAAAAAATGCAAGAATAATTGTTGGAACACCTTCAATCTAAATATAAACAAAATTAATAATAATAAATAACTAAAAAAAAGAAAGTTTACAATAAAGATAAGTTGCCATGCCGTTAATATTGGTGATTTAATTTGTGTAATACCATAAGCAATTAAACCACCAAAAGCTCCAGCAAGTGCTGAAAATGACCAAAAGAATCCAAGTCGAATAGCTTGTTCTTTTCTTCTATACCATAATGATGTGTAGTAGATAAATCCAGGAAAAAAGCCACATTGAAAAGTTCCAAGTAAGAATCGCGCTAGCAGTAGAGTTTTGAAACCGTTTACTGCCGCCATACTTACTGCTGCTAAACCTGTGAAAGTATGATTATAATATGATGAAATTTTGTCATCAAAACGAGATCTTTTTACCAAAATGCAAAGCATTTGTTATCTCACGTACAACAACAGAATTTTTTTTTTGGAGCACTTCATTATTTCAGAAAAAAAAGGTAAACACAGTGAATTATTTACCCCATAGAAGAACGATTAGAGAAATCCAATTTGATGGTTGATATCGACGAAGAATAATATTTGATGGTATTTGAAAAATTACAAAACCAAAGAAATAGATTGATAAACACCTAAGAGCAATGACATCCATATATAAAATCTAACTGAAAGATGAGAAGATATTTTACCATTGATATTGTTCTGAAGTAAGTTGAATATCATTTGCAAGACCAAATAATTTTGCATTTGCAATATTTGTTCCATTGAGATATGATAGTAGATAAAGAATACTGGAAAAAAAGTTTTAAAAACATTATTTTGTTTTTTTTTATCCTACATTTAAAAAAAACATACGAAAGAATTGGAAGCAGGTGTAAATCAAGTTTATGCATTAATTTTTGTTTTTCAATTTCATAATCATGATTGCTATTAGTAGCAATCTCGGATGAAGCTACTGTCATGGTCTACGATAGATTGTGTTGTTGTTTTTTCACTGTAATTTTCAATTCAATTCCATCAAATCTTTATGAAAAGAACGAATATAAAGAAAAAGCAAACATCGCCTACATGTGAATAACATTTGACAATCATTATCATGATCATTACTATCATGCAAGCTGTGACTATCTGTAGTATAACGAAACATTTATAGTTATCAATAGAAACGAACTTCTGCTTGTTCGATTTTTATATGATAGAACTTGTCATAAATACTTCGATATTCAAAGTGCAATTAGTACAGAACTAAAGTACACAGAAAGACAGTCAATAAAACCGACCAAAAAAAGCTATTTTATTTATTATTGTCAGTTAAATCCATTGTAACAGACAATTTCATCGAGTTATAGATAGCTTAAAATATAAAAGTAAAGTATTTTGACTTTTTGAATTATATAGACAAAAGATGAAAGTATATCTTCTAAAACTAAGTTTTCCTAACTAAAGATAAAGACTTTCATATATATTAGGTTGGCAACTAAGTCTTTGCGTTTTTTTCAAAAATTTTAATTTTATTTTTGAACTTCAAAAGTACAACTAGCTTTCAGTTATATATGTACCACTAGTATCTATGACTTGTCGCCAACGTTCTGGTAAAGACAGGATCCCGCGTTCGTAGAAGTCCTTGGATTTTTGATCAAAGAAGTTGGCGATATCCATTTTTAGGTCGTTCTCGTTGTCGAATTTTTTCTCAGCCAAATGATGAGAGAGAGAACGAAACAAATGGTAGTCCGTTGGAGCCAAGTCAGGAGAATAAGGTGGATGAGGAATGGTAATCCATCCGAGTTTCAATAATTTTTCACAGGTCGACTTTGCAACATGTGGTCTTGCATTATCATGCAAATAGTAAATTCGATCCTGCTTTCCCTTGAGTTTTTCGGCAATCCGATCCAATTGTTGACAGTATAGATCAGCAGTGATGGTGCAACCATTTGGTAGAACTTCCCAGTGAATAATCCCATTGACACCCCACCAGACGCTCAGCATCACCTTCTTAGGGTGTAAGTCAGCCTTAGGTGTTGCTACGCCTGTTTGACCAGGACTTAGCCATTGGCGTCTATGCGTGTAGTTAACATACAATACCCACTTCTCATCACCAGTGATAAGATTGCGTAGCCATTGATAGTTGCGGTAAGATGTGATTAAATCCATACATGCATCAACCCTGTATTGCAGCTGATATGGTGATAATTTGTGGGGTATCCAAACTCCATATCTCCATGTTTTGCCTAATCCGTGCAAATGTTTTTCCACCGCAGTATGGGAGCACCCCAGCTGATCTGCTAAACACCGTGAAGTCAATCGAGGATCTTGTTCGATAAGCTGCTGTAAGAGGTCCACATCCACCTCCAGTGGTCTACCGGGTCGAGGTAAATCGTCGAGTTCTAAGTTACCATTCTTAAACCGATTGAACCAATGTTGTGCCATACGAATCGAGAGTACATCCTCACCCATCGTGCTGCAAATGTTGTTGGCTGCTTCTGTTGCTTTATGACCCAGACGGAATTCATGAAGTAAAAGTATATGAATTTCTCTACGAGAAAGATTCATTTTCTGTTCGTGGTCAGCGTACATATCGATGACTTTATTATCGTTCGAAAGATATTCACACTCCCTTTATATACCCTTAGTATGGAAACTTCTAGAACTTTCTCGAATGTTCTAGAACAATTTCAAAAAAAACGCAAAGACTTAGTTGCCAACCTAATATAATTAACAAATAATCATCGACAAATATCATCATTTAAACATTTGACTTTTTCACAATAACTGACTATTATTCATTTTGCATCAATATTTAAATGATGTATTTTAATCGTTCATAATATGTAACCAAAAAGAGACAATACATATATATTTTTTTAAATAATATTAACAAACGATAAAATATAATTATTCCAACAAGTATTTGATTTACATAATCGATTATCAATTTAATATTATGTACCATCAAATCATGTGAACCTGTACAAATATAATCAAGAAAATTTGTATTGCTATTTGAAGAAGTCAAAAGAGTTACAGAAGCTCTTGGAGCTCGAGGAATTGAAAGATGTGCAAGCTTTGGAGAGATCCAAGAAATTCCTCGCATTCACGCAACTGCAGGATTGCAAGAAACTCAAGCAGCAAAAAAAACCTCATAAAACTGTGGAATTCTGGAAATCTTCAAGGAATCGAACACATTCTAATTATTTAACACACGTCTTTGTATTAATATTTAATAGATATGAAAGGGTAGCGAACAAATACTTATGTCGTGCTTAAAATGACTTCATCTATAGAAGATTTCTTGCATAGAACTAAGCAAAAAAAAAATGCAGACACTAAACATAATCGTCGACAGATTTTAGAACAATTTGCAACAGGTTTGTGTTATAGAAACATTTTATCTCATCGTTATTGTATTCGATATGTTGCGTTGAATTCTATTAATTTTAGACTCAAAAAATTTCAAAGAAAGCATTTTTTAACAAAAATACCAAATTTCTACTTGAGAAGATCATGTTCTCTATCGATCAGATATTTGTTCATTAGTAGATGTTTAACAATGAAGGCGAAAATACACACAAACACATGCAGAGAGCTGATAAAGTGAATGAGCAGGCAAAGACGAGCTGGATTGTTAGTGATGGTATGTTCATGAAGAGAGGGTCGATCTCTTTGATGAGGGTATGGATGAGAAAGTCTCCGCATCTATATTACATATACTCACATCCGAGTCGGAGTCTGATGCAGACCTCTAGTTTACAAATATAGATATATATTATGTGCACCTGTGTATTTCAAAGCAATATCTGACATCTGTCGATTGCTGATCAATTACTGGTTTTTATTATAATGATTGACGCGAACAAACAGACGTCTTTGTTCTGAAATAAATATAAATGATTCTTTTTTATCATTAACTTAAGTAAGATTCTACCACTTGTAAATGTTCTCCTTTATCAATCGAACAGTGTTCGATATACCATTAACCTGGAATCGAACTCGTTTTGAAGCTACACGTGTTAAATATCGACAAGCTCGAAAATTAATTGAGATCAGTATTAATGGTAACAAAAAAAGAGATACAATTTTTTTTTATTCTTCCTTACAACATATTTTCTTTTAGTACAATATGAAAAACAATTAAAAGATATTCATCTTCAAAATCTTGACATTGAAAAAACTATAACTGAAACAAATGAACATTTACTTAAACATGAAAAAAAAGTTCATATATTTGATAATTTAACTGAAATAGCTTCACAATCATTACCAAATTATTTTGATAAAGTAAAAAAAAGAAAAATTTTTTTTCATAAAAAATTTTCAACTATTGAAATTTATTTTCAGCGTATGGAAAATGTTCGTACCATGATACAAGAACATTGTAGTGCTATTCAAAAAATTCTTCATGAAGAAAATGAATATTGGAAAGAAATTCATTCTGCTATTGATCAGTACGTTTTTAATATATGATTTGATTCATAATTATACGAAAATCTTCTTATCTAAATTAAAATTTTTTATAGAAATTTGATTACTTCCAACGATATTCATCCATGTATAGAAAATATTCAAACAACAAATGAAGAACAAAATATTTTAGAATTACTTGTAAATAATTCTTTTAGTTATTTTAAATCATCATATTATCATTCTAGAATGATCAACCACAAACACTTGTCCATATTGATCATCCTTCATCAACTGAAAATCTAATATCAACTAAACAAGAACGTATGAGTATTGTTCTAAACCCGATCGAATCCATTCGAATTCTTCCTTCTATTAATGCAACATATGTTATTAAACCTGAAGAAACAACAAACACAGAAACAAATGATTCATTACCAATGGAAATTTCTTCACATATACCTTCAACAGAAATTGATGTATCACAAATATATTCTCAACCTAACCCTCCAGCACAACTTTATTTTTCTCCAACAATTCTTCAAGATGAAGCATCTGAATCAATTAAAAATGTACTATCACCACTTGATCAAAATCAAACTAGTATTTAAAAAAAAGCATAAAAGATTCTTTAATTTTATTAACAAATTCTTTGTTTTTTTTTTAGTTAATTTAGTCAAACCAAAAGTAATAATTCCTCGAGTTCATGAAAGTTTTTTAATTGATCATCTTAAAAAAAAAGAAACTAATAATATTGAAAATAATGAATCAAATATTCATCAACAGTAAAATTTTACTTTTTCCTCTCTCTCTCTCTCAATTAAATATAAATATTTCTTTCCAGAAATTCTTTTATTTTTCCAGAACCGATGTCTAAACTTCGAACACATTCTACAAAAAAAAATGAATTAGAATCAATTGATATAACAAAAAATATAAAACAAACACGAAAACGAAAACAATCAATATCAGAAGATAATGATACAAAATCGAATACAATTGTTTTACGTAAAAGAAAACCGATTTCATTTGTTGAAATTGAAGAAGAAAGACCAAAAAGAAAAACAACAAAAAAACGAAAAACTAAAAAAACTAATGGTATATTTAATTTTCCTACAGTAAATTATATTTGATTCTAATTTTTATTTAGAAAATGAAATACCAATTCGAGAACCATCACCTTTACCTATCATAGATCGAACAATACATTATAGTACTCGTTTTTCTACACGTATGTTATAAATACAAATAAATAAATAAATTACATCATTTTTCTATCATATAACATAGGTTCTCATCGATTAAACAATTTAACATTGCCAATGATTAATATAGAAAGTGATGATGATAATAATAATAATAATAATAATAAATCGAAATCTCGTTCTCAACATGGAAAAAAAATCATCAAACAAAAATCAAACCAATCAAAAAAATCTTCTAAATCAACAAAAAAATAAAAAAAAAAGTGTTAACTATATTGTTTATTGAGTAAAATTGTTAAACAATGAAAATATCTAGTTTTTGTATATTGTATTTGAATAAATATGACTATTGAGTAGATGTTATTTAATCCCATTTGAATAACATGTCTATTACATCAAATCAACAATACGTTTTCTGTACTCTTTTCGTACATTGTCAATGCCATGGGTAACACAAACAATAAAGTAAAAGGAAAGAATAAAAAGACTCCCGTTCAACAATACGGTAAAAACCAACCTGTACTCGGTTCAGTCAATGGATACAATTATTATCCAAATCAATATGCACCTGAACAATATTTTTATCCTGCATATCCTCCAGATCGTCCCGTAGTTTCTAGTGAACAATATCTGCAAAATGAATTTTTTCCGACAATACCAACAAACAATGTAAGTAGTATGCCATAAATTTTTTTTTTCATACCTAAAATTTAACTATTGTATTACAGGACGTCGTCGAACAATATCCTTCGGCTCATCATAGTCATGTTCACCATTCTCACAGTGCAAATAAAGATCCTCATCCTCATCATCATCATCGTCATCATCAACATAATCATACATCCGATGGTCACAATCATCATCGTTCTCATCATCATCATCACCATCATCATCATTCATCTTCATCAATTACTGAAAACGAAATTTCAAATCCTTCTATAGTTAAAGCGGATGTAACTTCTTCTCGCCCACTTGTGGAAGATCCACCTTCTCTTCAAACAAAAAATCCTATCACCCCTGTTACCTATAGAGAACTAGTAATTCCTTCACCTGCCGTGGAGTCAACTTCTGTTGTAGCACCAAAATCTCAAACTCCTGTTATAATTAAACAGCAACCACCTCCTCGGCCATTAACCATGCCCCTGACTGTATCTTCGTCTCTTCCAGTAACAGCAGACAATTTTGAAAACGCTCCAATATTAGTAACAAATCATGTTCTAAAATCATCTGATAAAAAATCGATACATACCTTTGGATCAGATACAGTGTCTATCGTAAAACGAACTCAATCACAACCTTCAACACCGGGTGGTAGATGGTATGAACATAATTATGATAAAAGAATAACACCACTTACTACTAAATATGTTTAACTTAATTATTTTATATATTTAACACTTTTCAAATAAAACAACATTATGAAATAGTGTCAAAACAAAAAAAAAAGTAATGAAGATTGTTATTTGTAAATAAAATAAAACACTAAAATCATCAATCAATGCAAAAAACAACATCCGATATTTTTTTTCAAATCCAATTCAATTGAAAAAAATACTTTTCTTCTATCAAAACTATCAACAAAAAAAATGAATAAACACGAGAAAAAAAAGACACGTATAATAATACTTCATAGATTTTCCCATTCTTATTATCAATAATATAAATGCTCTACCGTTCGTATTTAACAATGAATAAATTGCTTCAAGACCAGTAACTCGTTGGTTTCTTAATGGTTCATAATAATACACATGATCTATTCCTTCAATAGCAACACTGACGGCTTGTTCATGGACAACATAACCTATTCCGACATCTGCTATATCAAAAATAACTGTATTCATTGAACACATTCGATTATCGAATTTACTAGCTCTCGTAAGATGAATATATTCATTACCTCTAACCTTTCCAGTCATAGTTATTTCACTCGTTCGAAAACTAATAACATGAAATTTAGAAACAAAAATATCTCCACATATATTAGTACTTTACTACATAGTATCTAATGATTCTGATTGAATTGAATTTTTTGTTCGTAGAGTCCCTATATCAATCATAATTATTCATGAAACAGCTGTATGAAAATGTAAATAAGTAATTATTTTTTGATGATGAAGAAAACTAATAAATTTATTTACGATAAAATCGACATATTTTGCTTCTCATTTTCTCCTATAACACGAGAAAAATATTGTCTTAATGCAGTTCACACTTCAGTGAATACATAGTATGCTTTTTGCTTATAATAAAAACGAAAACACTCATTTTTTGTCGAAGTCATGTGTTCACACATTTTTATATCTCTGGCCTATCAAAAATATTGTAGTGTAGCTAACATTTTTTTGCTTCATCGATTACTTTTATATTGCAGTGTATCTTATCTACACATAAATATATATATTACAGGTATATGCTGATTGTAGTCACACAATAACGTTACGCCAATGCGATTCTATTTTGTCAAGAAGTGAAACAATAGGTTGTTTAATGATGAATATCTTATTCATACTGGTTTTTTTCTTCGAGTTTACACATCACATCTAAAAAGAACTATTATTCTAATCTCCATTGTTTTTTCATTTTATACGTGATGTTCGCCAATGTTGATCTTTCTTCTGAACGATTATTACAACGATACTTGTTATTATGTGCATTGTTTTAAGATATATGTATTTATTACACAGTAGCAAGCAAAAATCTCCTATAATCTGTCAATTAGACTGGACAATACCTTACAAAAATTTTAAAGATTTAGGCAACAGACTGAATATATCTGACAAAAACTATACTCGATGCAAATCAACCTATGATTCCTAAAATAAATTTCATGGTTTAAATACTAGTTGTAACATATTCAAGGATTGTAGCGATAGTGAAAGTAAGTTTTATATTGATTATATGTCATTATTGATACTATTTTTATTTATCTTCAGATATTGAAATGAAATCAACATGCCAATCGCGTAAATCCAGAACATCAGATAACAATTACAAGTAAGATAGTGTTTTCTGTTCAAGTAACTCTTAGTGTAATCTAGTGCATGATGTCACACGTGTTGTTGCTTGATAACATGACTAGTAATTCTACAAACAATGGTTACTATATAAATTGCGAGAGCGAAAAATAATTATTGTTATAAAATATTGTGTAGTGCGTCGCCGCATATTCGAACAATCTATTATCTAATAATCTCATAATTACTCTTATTCAATGATGAATAATTGAACCATAGTAAAGAGTTGAAAATAATAGTGAAGTATATGCCACAAACTATGTCTCTCAATGAACGTAGTGATAAAAAACCAATGTTAAATTACTTACGATACTTGCAATAGAGGTTTGAAATTTGAGATAATTTCCTATGTCTTAGTCATTACTTGTGTATGATTCACACATATCTTCTACATTTCTTATCTGAAGAATCGATGAATACACGCTTGAATTTTCATTATATTAATTCACAAAAATTCTATTTTAAACTTGTATGATAATTAGTTGACTTTTTTTTTTCTCTAATTATTGTATTCATCCTAATAACGTACTAACCATACATCACGCATTTTGTGCAATTAGCCATTTTTATTGAATATTTAATTTTTCTACTCAAATAATTCTTTCCTTTTTGTCTTTCAAGAATTCTCTCTATGATATATCTAGTAAACAAATAATGTTAAAAGAAAAGATATATATTATAGAATAATAAAGAAAAAAAAAAACATTTTGATACAACACAACAAATAATTCAGAACTTATTTTAAGATTTTCTCTTTGTCTTTTTCTTTTTGTGGTATGCATATATATGTTATGATTTTGATTACCAGTTATTAGCGAATATAAAATATACAATAAAAGAAGAAAAGAAAAAATTATTGGAATTTCAAACTAATTAAAGAAGAAGAAGAAGAAAAAAAAAACAAAGCAACGGAATGACTATAAGAACGTTTGTCTTCAAACAAGAGCACCCGTATATTAAATGTAAATAAGAAGAAAAAAAAAGAAAACAAATTAATTCACTTTAATTATCATCATCATCATTATCATCAGTTGTTTTATGTGCTATCATTTGTTCCCATCTTTGTGACAAATCTAATTTTTTTGCTGGACGAATTATTGGAGCATGAGTTTTCTACAAACAAGAAAAGTAATTTCAATTAATACATCAAAAAATAAAACAATTTACTTCATCTTCTGTTCGTTTTAATCGTTCTATTCGATCAAAATAACCTTCGTGATCTTCTTCATGTTCATCTTGTATTACATATTCTGAATCATTATTTACTGTTGGACTAAGAATCGTTGGAATACTAGTTATTGAATGACGTTGTTTTCTAAATAAAATTAACATTTCGAAGCCATAATTTAGTAAGTCTTTCTTTCTTTCTTTTTTTGTTTGTTATTAATATAAGCTCTTACATCGAATAAGATATTTTTAGTTTTTTTTTTTTTATAAATATATAGATCAAAAAATCGAACTCAATCTATTTTCATTATAATCTTTCGATAATTAAATTATAAGATATAATTCTTTAGAGAAAGATAGAATATATTTTAATTTGAATATTATAAAAGATTTTACCTTAATTCTTGTTCTCTTTCTTGACATTCACGTTTTTCTAATTCAAGTCGATCAGTTGTTGATAATTTTGAATAATCAATTGATTTATTTGATGAACTAATAATAGGTGCTGTAGGATTTGGACTTGGAAATTTACCTCGTATTGATGAAATAGCTAGAATAAATAATTAAAAAATATAAAAATAATATTAACAAAAAAAAAACAAATTTCTTACATGAATTATTATTATTATTCATTGGTTTTGTTTTAAAAACTCCATTAGATGGTACAATCATAGGTCCATATGATGATCGTCCACTATCTCTTCTTACTTTTCCTGTTGATAATGTATTAACAGATTGACTTTTTGGTAATGTTGAAACTAATTCTTGATATTTTCTTGGATCCGAATGTTCATCACTTGTATGTTGTATTCGACCTAATTGACGTAATTCAGCTTCTTTAGCACGTATAGCTTCAATTTCACGTTGAATTATATTATTTGTATTTTGTGTTGAAAGCATATTTTGATTTGATGATGAACGATGAATAACATTATTTGTTGAACTTGTACGAATAATAGGTATACCATTATTATTAAAACGATTTAATTCTTGTGAAACAATATTTGAAATTTGTTTACGTTCATCATGTGATGATGATGATGATGATGGTGATGGTGGTGATAATGTATGAGAATCATAAACAATATTTTGTATTGATATTGTTGAACGACGTGGTGATGGTAATTCATTTGATGAATTATTTACTTTTGATGTAAAAAAATCTAAATTTGATAAAAATGAATTACTTTTAATTGGTTGTTTTGTTGATATATCAGATTGATTTAAATCATTATTTGAAATTATTTTTGCAGATGATAAATCTTCAGCAAGACCACATTGTTTACGTTGTCGTCGTAATTCTTCTTCTTTTTCTTTTGTTTCACGAATTTCACGTGCTATTAAAGTTTCGGAATAATAACCATTTGGTATTGAAACTGGTGATGTTATTAAAGAATCAATTCCAGGACGTATTATTTGATCAGTATTATTACGACGTGTATTACTAACATAACGTTGAGTTTGACGAACAGATTCAGGCTAAAATAAATTATACAATAAGTTTAAAACAATAGAAACCTCATGAATATACACTTTATTTTATAATTAGATAAACATACTACAATAATACGATATGTTATCTTGATTATTATTTATTTATGATTGAAAAGAAACATTAACTTGAATAAGTTTACAATGGGATATATATACAAAGGCTTTATTTTTCTTCTTTTATAGATTAATTTTACAAATGAATCATCTATTGATAGAAAAATTTTACTATTTGATTCTTTCTGAGAATTAGTAATTTATTATTTTTTTTGTAAATTAAAACATGAAAATAATTAGTAGATCGAGACAAATGATAATCAAAATTGTGTCTACAAACTGATAGAAGTTGTCACATGAGGGTTCAATGTACGTATAATCTAAACTCTGATAAATTGTCTTATGTTACATTACTATAAAAAAGTTAATATTTGAATTTTTATTATCAGCCTTGAATACTAACCTGAGGATATTTATTATTCCACTTCAATAGACTAGACTTATTCCGTTCTTCTGTCATTTATTACTTTACAAAATCTTAAGAATCTATAGTGGGTGAGTGTTGAACAAGAAAAAGATTTGATTGCTCTTCATATATATTTGATAAGCAATAACATTGTCTATTATTAAGCCAAAAGAAAAGAAAAATATTTTCTTTTCTAGTTATACTTGTGAAATAATTCTCAAGTTCTTTTTTCTTTTTT